ACTGAAGAAAAAGGTCTGATACTACAAAATTCAGAACCATAGAAAGTAAAACCAGAAAGCACTTAGAGTCTAGATATAACAACTCTTCTAGGCTAACTGGTTTGGTAGTTAGAGAGAGATCAGTATAAAGACCGGTTGAAAGTAGGTATTGGGATCGGAACAAACCTTGTAAGTGCAAGGAGTAGGTAATGGTAGCAGCCACAAAAGCCGCAAGTACCAGTCCTCGGATTAGATGTAAGTTACCAAAAAACCCAGATGATACATATGTGAAACTATATATGTTGGACAAATTCTTGAGATTTGGGATTTGATTATGGAAAAATCTGAACAAATAGAATTGTCTATCTAAATTTAAAATTCTTATATGGCAAAATTAGACAAATTTCAATCCCAAATCCCAAATTCTGTCCCAAATCCCAAATTCTGTCTCAAATTCCAAATTCTGTCCCAAATCCTAAATCCTGTCCCAAATCCTAATTTTATCCCAAATTTCAGATCTTGATAACCAGATTGATCAAAAATCTATCTAATGCTAAATTTCTAAATTTGCAATTTTTACAAATCTGTTAAACAAGTTAATAACAATAGTACTACTATAATGCTTTAAGTCTTCTGTAATACACATCAATATATATAATGCATATTTAAATTAGTATGTACGCGTACATAGTGTAATTTTTTTTATCAAACTTTAACTTGCTCTTCTGGTTTTTATCTAGTTTTTTGATTTTTTAACTATGTTTTTAAAACCATTTTCTACCAGTTAATACCTATATATTTTTATAAATATGGTGTTAAAATATTATTACATACAAATTGTTTACGGCATTAGCTTTTTTTTGCTTTTTTTTTTTTTTTAGTTTCACATATTTTTTTTTTTTTTTTTTTACTTTTTTTTTTTTTACCTTTTTTTTTATTTTTTTTTTATGTTTTGCTACGTATATATTTTCCTTTTAATACTTGCTAACATGGAAGATATTGCAAATAGTGAAAATATGAGTATTGATAAAAGTTTAAATGATTCTTATTCGGGTAGTGAAACTGAATTATCTATACAACCTAGATTATCAAATAGCAGTGGACACCCCCATCAAATATATGAGATAAGTATAATATTGTAAATAATAGCTCAGAAAAGCATAAAGGAACAAATTGCAAATATTGTCCCCAGGCAAGGTATGAGCTTGAGAAAGAGCTCAAGAAATAAAAACTCATCTTGCAATGAATGAAGTGTAAAAGAAAAGTATCTAGAGAAATTCGAATAAAAATACTTAAGGATCTTTAAAGCGAACCTACATCATCTATTTTAAAAAAAAGAAATCAAATCACATTCACTTGTCTCTGGATGTCTACTATGATACCAAAGAAGCGATTGAAAAAGCTAGAGAAACAAAAATCAACCAATTATTGATCAAATAGATTGTTTGTTCAAGTCTTCTATTTTCAGCCTTTAATAATCCTTTTTTTGAAGACTTTACAAGAATATTAAATCCGGGTTATGACCTACCAAAACACAATGCATTAGCAACATCAATTTTAGACTCAGAAGCAGCAAGTGTTCTAATAAAAGTTGATAAGGAGTTGTCTAAGGCTAAAAATCTGACTTTATGTATAGATAGTTGGTGTAGTTCGTTGAAACATAGCATTTATGCTTTTGTTATAGTAACTAATGAAAAGAAGCAGTATATATATTCTTTACGGGATTTTTCAAAGTCTTCCCATACAGCAGATTTTAATAGCAAAAAAATAATGGAGGTATTAGAAAGTGTTGGGCCTGAAAAGTTTATAGCAATAGTTTCTGATGCAGAATCATCAATGATAGTGGCAAAATGACAAATTACAGAAAAATACCTGCACATTTTATCTATAAGATGCATTGCACATCATATTCAACTTATCTCTAGCAGTATTTGTAATTTACCTCATGTAAAAAAAATTTTATTCAATTGTCAAGTAATTATTAGTTTTTTTAGAAATTCCTATACTGCCGATACAGCACTTAGAGAAGAAATCACGTCCACCCTTACTCTAGGTAGCAATCTGAAATCAACAACTAAAACTCGATGTCAACAGTATGGGATTCTTGTAAATCTATATCATGTAATGAAACAAATATTAAATCAGTAAGTTTTATTTTTTAATTAAACTATATATTAAAACAGCTATTTTACATATAATAAACAACTTTGTGTAAATTAAAAGTAATGATTTACAAACAATAAATCAAAAAAAAAAAATAAAAAAATTACAAATAGGCTGTTTTAATAAGTAACACTGCACAAACTATTTCTCTACGAGATTATAAAGTTTGAAACTAGTTAAAACCAGTTTTAGCTCCAAACTCTATCCATATTTATTCTCTCACATATATTTATAAAGGATTATACTTTACTAATATTAATTTGTTTAATAGGTTTTAGAACGAGAACCTCAAATTTTTAATCACACAAACATAAAAAATATAATTAATAATCATCAATTTTGGATTGATGTCGAATAATTGCAGAATATCCTCAGCCTGGTAAAACGAGCTATAAAAAATGTAGAGTTTCAAACTACCTCATTAGCAGACATATTTGTTGAACTAATAAAAATGGCAATTGCAATCCAAGATGCTTCAGTTTTATATAATGGTCAATTTCGGCATGATTGCATTGCTATTTATAATAAACGGTAGAAAGAATTTGATATGGAATTGTATCTTTTGGCATTTTTTTTACACCCAACTTACCATGGTATTTAAAAATCTAATATATGCATAATATGTGCTTTCACTTTATTTTTTATTTATTTATCTTTTTTTTTTATAACAGGTAATTTTCTCGAACCTGGTATATATAAAAAATATGTTCTTAAAAAGGCATTAGAGGCATGGAAACAATTAGGCAGCGATGAAACAAGTGCTAACCTTTTAAAGATTTAGATGAATTTTTACAAAAATAATGAGTTCCTCTTCGATAATGAATTTATGGCATCTTCTGATATGATCACCAATTGGTAGATGTCCATAGACCTTAAAAGAAATGAAAACCATATAAAAACTCTTGCTCTAAAAATACATTCTGTTTCACCTCATAATGCAGCTTGTGAACGAGTTTTTAGCATATTGGGTTAGTATTTAGGAAAAAGGCGGACTAGGTGTATTAATATTTTTTTTTTATACTTGTCATAATTTTTACATTATAACTACAAAGTTTTTTTTTTAGATTAAGTATTAAACGTCTGGAGGCTATGGCCCAGATGTATTTATTCTTAGTCGAAAATGCTAAATCAGAGCTTAACTACGTGGATCAAAATCTTCGTCAAGAAAATCTCTTGTCGACCTTTAATCAAATTGCAAATTCTATAGAAGATGGAAACTCACTTCTTTTGGAAGAACTTACAGAAAAAGATGCGGAAGAGGTTTTTGAGAAGAATAATTTAGTCAATAAAAATTCAACAAATTTAGAAGTCAGAAAGTTTATATCTTTATCTTCCAATTTAGAATCTAGTAGATCTTTAAGTAAAGATGTTATATATGGAGATAAGGACTTTGATGTAAATGAACTATTAAAGTAATAATATAGAATTGATTTCAAAGACGCAAGTGCGAAAATATATAATAGTTACTGGAAGTTTGTGCAACTTATCGCTTGATGGGAAGAGTACTTGCAGATTTAAACAAGTCATTAAAAAAAAGAGAATAAATAAAAAGAAATAAAAAAAAAGAAGTATTATCAGAAAGCTATATTTTTAATTTTTTCAAATCATTTAAATATGTCAAACGGTTTCAATTATCAATGTGAATCTATTACTACCTGGTAAGTATTCACAATTTTTTTAGTTGAAGTGAAAATATTGCTTTGATTTATCAATTTTACTGATCCACTAAAAAAAGTTACTATCATTTTTAGTAATCTCCTTGTCCTTCAATCACATCAGTTATATATTTTTAATTTGGATTTCTAATGATTAATAATTACACTTGATGACATTTAACCTTCACAATAGATCATAGTCACTTTCGAAGGTTTATAGCTTCTCAATATTGATCTTGGCATATACTGATAGAATTTTTTTTAAGGTGGGTCAATAAAAATAATATTTTTGCTTAATCATAATAATTGTATTAATTATTATTAAATACACATTCAGGATAAAATTCAGAAAAAGTTTTATTATATAACGTGATCTACAAATTTAACTATCGCTATTTACCTGCACGATTTCCAACACAAAAAAAA